TTTCTTTCCCCCTTTTTTTGTGTCTAGAGTGTTCGGTATGCGTGTATAGCCTCAAGCCCATTTGCACATATTCTTGCCGGTTGTAGTTGTTTGTTATCATTGGTTAATGCTCTCATTATCTGTTTTTGTTATGAATCGTGTTTCATTTATTTGTTCACGTCAGGTTCAAATTGAAACGTGTTGTAATTAGTATTCAGTATTCAAATGAAAAATAGTCTAGAGAGCTGGTGTAATATTAAAAATTTTCATGCAGGTGGGAGGAAGCAAAGCCGTCGAAATTGTCAACGGTCGAAATGAAGACCGAGAGGCGGCATCTGAATAAATTTTTGAAAGCCTGATGACATTATAAAAAAAAAAAAATTCTCCCTCCTGTGTTCATGGTTTCCTATATATGAACTAGTCAAAGACGCTTCGCTCTAGAAAATTTTAGTATAGGTGCACATCTGAACAGAGAATCTAGAGGAATTTTTCGTTTGGAACACCCGAATGAGAGCATAAATCGATCGATTTCTTGCAAAATTTACACGCAATCTTGGTCTTGGATCCAAGCAAAAACCTTCTATCATTATAAACTAATGTTAATCCCGTGTTAAGCACGACCTAATGTTAAATTAAGTTTGGAACAACCAAACAGTAAGACGCAGCTTTCACCCAAATCTACTGTGGAGTGAATTACGCCCTTTAGTTTCGAATTTTTAATGTTGTATTATAAACTGTGTTTTCATAGTTCAAATTTTAAAGTGTAGCATAAACAGGTTTTCCGATATTTTTTTTTATTATAGCATTAATACATCGTTTGGAACGCGGGAACGAGTGAGAATGGGATATTAATTCTCACTTCTCGTTCGTTCCTGCCAAACACAACATATTTTTTAAAGTTGGAATATCCACTCTCACTTCTTATCAATTCCAGCTTAATGTGCGAATGAGTATTCCGAATGAAATGAGTATTCCATTTTCACAAATATATAAAATTTCAAAATACAATCATTTCTACTTTATTTTATAAATTACAGCGAAACGTGAGAATAAAAATTAGTATTCCATTTTCACATTAATTCTGTTTCGTTCCTCAGTTCGTATTTCATTATTATCTCCCTCGATTCTCACGTTGTGACATCCCACTGACAGCGACATTGCGGAAAAAAAAAATTAGTCCCACATTTGTGGGAGAATGAGAAATTAAAGAGTATATACATAGTGAAAGCCAAATACTCAAGTGTAACGTCGACTAGTCGATTTTGACAGTCAAAAACAGTGCGTTACACTCGGTGGGTCTGACGACTTGCCCGTGGCAGGGGGGGCAGAGGCGTGACACATCGTACCAAGCGAACAGTGTTTGTTTTTGTCGTCGTAGAGTTAACAGTGGTTTATAATGTTTGAAAATTTTACTGTAACATCGACGGGGGTTTATTTATGTCCAAGGCTCTGCTTTTTAGGCTTAAAGTAGCAGGTTCCATGTTTCTAAAGATGGGCACAATATGCTAATCTTGTGGCATCCGTACACCTCACATCGTGATGTGACGTTCCTCACGACGCTGATATATTCCTTCGTTCAATTATTATTATAATAATAATAATAATAAAAATCCCTGTCTAAAGGCGCGGGGCTGGCAAATTCGTAATTTCCTCACAAGACAGGGCCCCTTCACATCACTATTCAAAAAATTTCAAATTAGCCCCTCCGAATGCTACAATTTGAAACTCTCCTCCTCTTTCTCTCTCCTGCTCCCATAAATTTGACCCTCGCGAACAAAGCGAGGAAACAAAAAAAAAAAAAAAGGGCGACCCGTTCCTGCCCCCTTTTCTCTCTATCTCTATAATCCCCTGCGATTTCTATTTTATAGGAACCGGAAATCTAGGGTTAGGGTTTTTTCGGGATGGGGCAGCAGAAGTTGATCTACAGCTTCGTGGCTCGAGGGACGGCGATCCTCGCGGAGTTCACCGAGTTCAGCGGGAACTTCACCGGCGTCGCGTCTCAGTGCCTCCAGAAGCTCCCCGCCACCAGCAACAAGTTCACCTACAACTGCGACGGCCACACCTTCAACTACCTCGTCGACGACGGGTTCAGTGAGTTTCCTGTTGATCCGATTCTTGATTTGGTCTGGCGTTCTAGGGTTTCCATTTTGGGGTTTTTTTTTTGGTTGGATCTGGGGGTTTGGACTCAATTTGGGGCAGATTTAGGATTAGGGCAGGGAGGAGAAGGAGGCGGTTGTGATTAATTTTGCCATTATCATCGTCGGGTTTTGTTTGTGGGTATTTGTTTCCGAGACCTTGAGTCATAGAAAAAAAAAATTGTGAGAATTTTTCCACCCAATTATGGTTCTCTTCTCTCTGCGGAGAAATGGCTCCAAAATGTTTAATTTATGAGGTTTTAGACTGGATACTGCTTGCTTGCTAGTTGTGATCATGTTGTTTCTAGAGCCGACCCGGTCTATATACTTTTGAGTAATGGGATAGCGAGTATTGCAGCTTCCCGATTGAAACTCTGATGATACTGCGTTGGTGAGTGATTCGTTATCTTCAGTAGTTAGGCCAGAATTGCTATTTTATAATCAATGGAGAAAGGACATGAGAGAACTTGGTTGGAAGCAACTAAGAGGGATAGAGTAATGACTAACTGAAAGAATAAGCTTCATGTAGCCGACCTCGGGACTTTGGGATGAAGTGTTTCTTGTCGTTGTGTAGGCCACAATTTGCAGATTCCACTGGATTCTTTTTTCTTCTAGGCGGTGAATGTACGTGTGACATTGATACAGCTGGACGTTGATTCTAGCTGATATTAGAATCTTAATTGATTTCAAAGGACTGTGTGGAATCTTGCAGTGATTTTATGATATCCCCAGTTCAGCACTGACCTATCGATAGCCTTTGACTGTGTGGAGACTGATTTTTATTTGTATTTAGCTGCTGGGTTTGTGCGCTTATATTTGGGCGAGGTGAAGCCCCTCCAATTGCCTATTTTTAATCATAGTGATAATGCCTTAAGTATGGCTTTTGAAATGAAAATTCTGAGATGAAAATCAAATTTACGTTGTATAGAAAATGATTTCTAGTAAAAGAATATAAGCATTTGTCTTTGAAATGCATTATTAGTAAAAGGATCTACCCTGTGCCTCGGTTGGGTAACAAAAAAGCTCAATAATCCACCTGTCTAGGCTCATTGGCACCCTTAAACATAATACCTATTTACCTCAGTTTCCAGTTTACACTTTTCTGCTGATGAATTCAGTCGATGCTGATGATTTTTTTTTTTTTTTTGGCTAGATTGCTAACTAAATTAAGGTAATACAAACAAAATTGAAGTTAACTGTGGATCATAAGATCACTTGTCCTTCGTGTTTCTTGAGGTGATAGTTTTGGAGCTTTGACGACCATGGTGCTATTTCCTGTGTGCACATGGAAAACTGCAAATCTTCTATGATTAAGTTTCTGTCATTGTTGAAAAGATTGTTCGTTTTACTTCCTATACGATACAATAGGCTTTTCTTTTCCTTTGGCAACCTTCTTTCACAGAGTGATCTTTGTCACCTTGTTGCTAGGTCTCACTAATCAGTATTTCTAATACGGTCGGAAGGGCTTTTCAAGATTTTACAATTATAAATATGCATATAATCATGCTATGATCGGTACTACTTTTTTTTCATGCTCGTACAAGAGTATCTTATTTACTTTGGTTGTGCAGCATACTGTGTTGTTGCAGTGGAGGAAGCTGGTAGACAATTACCCATTGCATTCCTCGAGAGAGTTAAGGAAGACTTCACCAAAAGATATGGCGGTGGAAAAGCTGCAACAGCTGTAGCAAACAGTCTTAATCGGGAATTTGGGTAAATGCATTATTCTTCCCGATGATTTAAGCTGCAGAAAACTTACTGCTATGCCTTTATGTTAAATAAAAATAAATATAGTTAAATGTCCGGTCGTTGTGACTATTTCTTAACAACATTTCAGGCCAAAACTGAAAGAGCACATGCAGTACTGTGTGGACCACCCGGAGGAGATCAGCAAGCTTGCCAAGGTGAAGGCTCAGGTGACAGAAGTGAAAGGAGTGATGATGGAAAACATTGAAAAGGTAGAGCTTAAACATTTGGAGCCGGTCGACTTCTTGAAAATGTATTTCTGAGATTTAAGCTGCTCCACACAGAGCGTGCTCTTTTAAACCATACCATTTGGTTGCTTGTGATCTTCAGGTACTTGATCGTGGGGAGAAAATTGAGCTCCTTGTGGACAAAACAGAGAACCTTCGCTCTCAGGTTTGTAAATAGTTATCTTTCATCGTCCAGTTGAGGCTTGCTATATCATTTTATCCCTTTTAATGAGGGTGTAACATACAATTGCAGGCACAGGATTTTAGGCAGCAGGGAACACAGATGAGGAGGAAGATGTGGTTCCAGAATATGAAGGTCAAATTGATTGTGTTGGGCATCATCGTCGCTTTGATTCTCATCATCATCTTGTCTGTTTGCCATGGCTTCAAATGCCACTGAATCTCGATAACATCTCCATTTTGTGCATTTGCTCAGTCTGTGGTGCTGTGCTGCTGGTGCTTTCAAGTATAGTCGTGTATCGTTTACTATATATGGAGTCTTCTTTGTTCTTGACTGTGGCTTGGCACTCCTATATGATTTGACGAATTAGTATATACTTTATTAACGTGTTCTTTTTGTCGTCGTTCCTTGTTCTTCCGAACGAACGGGTATAGCCCCAGTATGATAGGGTTTGTTGCCATTTATCTTGTACATTCTTTTCACTGCTGTGTTGTTCGATCGGCTGAAGCTCAGGCTCATTCTCTTAAAGAGTGATATTCCTGCATATGATAGTTATCTCACGGTTCCAGGGGCTATCAATCACAAGATGCGGTCCACGAAGATGTCAAAGAGTTATTTTTCAAGCTTCACCTTAGAAACTAACAGGTGCTCTGGGGCTCGCTTGGACCCTCTTGGCTCATTATGCTTCAGAATAATATAACGAGTCTAACCACAGATTAAGAAGCTCTGCAGATGGATAGCATTCATCGTCTACAAATTAGACGGTAGATTCAAAGAGGAGAAAATGCTGGAGTCGCTCAAAGCCTACCCTGCTGTTTCTGAAGACGAATTTGTTCTCATATTATGATTTTCATCATCAATTCCGAAGAACATCAACAATCTCATTGACACTCGTCAAATGCAGAGAACGCGTAACTGGGGGATAAATTCCTCTTTCAACAAGCAAACGTTCAACCGCCACAGAGAACATTATGAGTCGATTGTCTCAACAAAATACAACAGTAAAATGAACCTCGCTGGAGGAAGATGGTAACATATACATTCCAAAATGAGTTGACAAGAAAAAGAAGATGAACGTTGCATGACTCTAGGTGTACTTGTAGCAGCCATGGGAAACAAGCAAACAAACAAGGCCCGGCGAAGTATCCATTCACACAGATAACCCTAGCAACACAATAGAGCTCACCTCACATTTAGACAATTGCGATACAAGTCCTTTGATAACTTCTATTTCCCCTAAAAAGAGAAAACAAGCACGCATCATGACAGCACAATTGCAGTACCAACACCACCACCTGCACTTTCACTCGGCCTGATTCCCCCTTCCGCGACCGCCCGTCCTTCCCCTGCCGCGACCGTAG